GAAGGGTTAGTAGAAAAACTAAAGATAAGAAAATGACACAAAACACAAACAAACACTTACGAATCAAACAATCACAGACAAAAACACTCACAGAGAGGCGTTTCTGTCACATAAAAAAACTCGCTTCAAAACCATAAAACAACATAAATAACTAAGCACCTCAAAGGTTCATTGGGGAATTCCCAAAAGGAAAAGAACCTGCAGAAGGTCACACCAAGGTCGCACGTAATAAGGTGTTCTATAGTTAAAAATGCAATAGAAAATAATTATAATCTGACAGCAATATTAATTTTAACTTTGCTACTTAAAGCCCCGGTTAGAGCAGAACAAAATAACTACATCAACAATTAAAATAAAATACAAGTACAATAAAATACAACTACTACAAGTAAAATAAAATCCTCGCCTCACAAATGATCGCTGAATTGATAAAATTATCTTAAAAAATATAAAATAATTTAAAAGCTATAATTCAATTAAAATATTTAGACTATGGTCTATGATGTTATGTTATTACAGAGTGCCTAACTGTATATATGTACTGTAAACATATGTTTAAATTAAAAAAAAAAAAAAAAAAAACAGACAATACACCATACAATACATACACATGAATAATACATAAAGGAAAAAAAAAATTAGACAAAATAAATTGAAATATTTAAAGACATAATTTAACTAATACACCAAATGTCACTCTATTATTGTTTATATAAGACATTGCATTTCTAGAGAATCTTTTTAAAGTTTCAATACCTAATGGTTTATCACTAAAGCATTCGATTCTCAAATCCTTTAACAAAGGACAGTGATTGAGAAGTGGTTAGCGTCTCTGCCTACCTTGCCGAAAGGCCCGGGTTCGAATCCCGGAGAAGGCATGGATGTTTGTAAAATGTATAGTGTTTGTGCGGCATGGCGACACTCTAAATATGCGGCGAGCCGAAAGTCACGAGTTACTACGCTCCTTGTCACGAGGGCTTGTAGGCTTGGGATGACTACGTCAGACGAGCATAAGTAACAACAACAATTTCAAATATTGTAATGAAATTGAAAATTTTGCAATAACTATAGTTATTGTTAAGAGTTACTAGTTATTAAAGGACTTTTCTAAGTATAAATTGATCAAAAATTACTTAAGACTAATAATCGAGAGACGTAAGACTAATAAATGAGAGACTCAGTAATGAAACAGATATTGATAATGTCATCGAAGATTTTGCTAATAGGAAATCAAGAAAAATAACATGCTAATTCCGGTGTTATGATATAATAATTAACATGTTAAAAGTAATATCTTATTAGAATGTTTGAATAAAAGTTTTATACAAACTAAGCGTAGTGTTTTAATTTATTTCCCTGTCCGTCGTTTTGAAAACTTTTAAGACTTCGGCTATGCCCTCGGGGGTATGGACAAACATCGTGTTTAAATCTAAATTAAGCCTACTCTACCGTTTAAAACAACTACTTCGATTGAAAGATAAATTTTTCATAGACGCTTGAAAATTATTAAAACGACGTTTAAGTATTATCCTAGTAACCGTTCCTCACATAAGGAAGGAAACAAAAAGAATCCTCCTCTGGGAAATCAACTTTCGTCGTAGACAGGAGCACACCTAACGGCGCGTAAACGAAGTACTCTACATCTCTTTTCCTGATCCGAGAAGGAAAGGCGATGCGGCTGTCTCGATATTATTCCACTTATTTCAGAATAATGGCAGCAGGAAAGTGTCATAGCTACATCTCAACGATTAATAACCCCTTCTTAGTACACGACTAGGATATCCAGGTCAAATTACCTCGAAGGCAACTCAAATTTTGTTGGAGTAATTTTTAAATCTCGGGGAACCGGAAACCGCCCGGCGTTAATTTCCACTTCGCAAACAAATCCGTTTTGTTAACCGATCGTAAATCACGTGACAAGCGAGGGGTAGAGTTGTTTCCGGTTCTGCTGGCGTGAAAGTGGAACTCCGTGTCGGCGGTCAGATAAGGACCAGAAGATTACGACCGGGTTTTAAGTGCGATTTCCACTCTTTAGAGATACGAGGCTATAAATCTGGAACTTCTGGTTTCCAGAACACCTTCTGGTGTTTAAGATTTCCAGAACTTCCATTCAACTGCACTTTGGTGGACTGAGACTGGAAGAATTTGAATACATTCTTGCATCCAGAGCATTCTTGCATCTGCTGTCTGAATGCAAGATGGATTGATAGCGAAACTCTAGCCCCGAAAGGATTCTTTACAATAGTGGGAATATTGGTTTATACATCATTGGTACTTATGAATGAAATTAAACGTCATGATCGGTAAAATAAAAATAATGACACTTTTGCATCGCGTTGTCGCTTTAATATAATCCGCCTGAGTCAAATGATATTATCTATTATTTTTATTATTATTTTAACTTTCCTTCATTTATAATTAGTCTTCTCCCTCTCGCATTTCTTTATCGGTGTGCTTGGAAGACACGCAACATAGAAACTTCCCAAGATGTTGTGCTTCCTATCTGCATGAGGTTATTTAATTCATCAAAACGACAAGCCTAATTCAATGCTTATATTTAAAATGCTGCCCTTTTGTGTGACGTAAAATCTTCAATATTTTTCACATTCAAAGAAATATTGCTAGTCTGTCGGAAAGCGATAATCTCATACCAAGATATAGAGTTTTTCCCTTTTATTCTGTTGAATGAAGTGTCGAGGAACATCGTGAACTGCTGAGCGAATAATCGCTTGAGTGCAAGAACAGAAACGAAGACTCAAGAAGGGTTAATTACCCTTTATTTCACTCAAAACAACATTAACGGTTGGCCCCTTTCTTAGAGCGTACAGCAAAGCCTCCGCTAGGGCTTAAACTCAAAATATAAGAAATAAGGACCAACTACGCTAGACGCATGGGTCATTCCATTTTGGATATCGTTAGGGAATTCAACATTAAGAGATCTACAGTGTCAAGAGTGTGCCGAGAGTATCTAATTTCAGTCATAACATCCCACCATGGACATGCGCAGTGGCCGACCACCTGCACTTAACGACCGAGACCAGCGACGTCTGCGTAGAGTTGTCAATGTTCACAGACAAGCAACACTGCGTCAAATAACCGCAGAAATCAATGTGGGACGTACGAGGGACGTGTCCGATAGGACAGTGCGGCGAAATTTGTCTTCCTTGGGCTATGCCAGCAGAAGACCGACTCGAGTGCCTTTACTGACAGCACGACATCGCCTGCAGCGACTCTCGTGGGCTCGTGAGCTTATCGGTTGGTCCCTAAACGAATGGAAAACCGTGGCTTGGTCAGATGAGTCACGATTTCAGTTGGTAAGAGCTGATGGTAGGGTTCGAGTGGGGCGCGACCCCACGAAGCCATGGACCCAAGTTGTCAACAAGGCACTGTTCAAACTGGTGGTGGTTCCATAATGGTCTGGGCTGTTTTTACATGGCATGGACTCGGTCCTCTGGTGCAACTGAACCGATCATTGACTGAAAATGGATACCTTCAGCTACTTGGAGATCCCTTACAGCCATTCATGGACTTCACGTACTCAAACAACGATGGGATTTTTATGGATGACAATGCGCCATGTCACCGGGCCACAATTGTTCGCGATTGGTTAGAAGAACATTCTGGACAATTCCAGCGAATGATCTGGCCACCTAGATCGCCCGACATGAATCCCATCGAACATTTATGGGACATAATCGAGAGGTCAGTCCGTGCCTAAAACCCTGCACCGTCAACACTTTCCCAAATTATGGACGTCTATAGAGGCAGCATGGCTCAATATTCCTGCAGGGGACTTCCAACGACTTGTTGAGTCCATGCCACGTCGAGTTGCTGCACTTCGCCGGGCAAAAGAAGGACCGACAAAATATTAGGAGGTATCTCATGACTTTTGTCACTTCACTGTATCGTTTCATCAATAAATCTAAATTAAAATGAAAATTCCATCATGTCCTATCTCAGTATTCAGACAACAAAAGTTCAAGTAATCGACTGGAAACATAAAAGTACTTTTGTCTTCAAAGGCAAAGACATTTCTAAACGAAACTTTATTAATAATAACGTAACATAAAAAATAAACATTGGCAAAATTTTCTAATTTATACGATTTCAAATATCACGGCGATGCCTTGAGAATTTTATCTCAGTTAAAAATTATAAGCTAAAACCGAATGATTATGTAACTGACGAATGTAATATATGCCCTTATAAATTTTTTCACCGAATAATTAACTGCACGTGGCTTAACATAAGTTACTAACTGTATTACGAGTTACTTGATTAGTCTTTCTATTAAAAAATAAAGATTTAAATAATTAAAAAAGTTCATTAACTTTTTTAAATCATCCAATTTATTATATTAAGTCATTGTAATTACAATTTAAATTACAATTTAAGGATCGTATGTTATAGGATTAGATATCCCCCTTCTCAAAGCCAGAGCTTAAAAGTTCCAGGAAAATTCTCGCTTTCCCCTAATTTCTGAAAATAACAAAATAATTTCTCAAACGTTTAGAAGTAAATAAATATTTAAACTAAAAGTAACACTGTATTAATGTTAATTCACCTTTTAGTCATCAGCTAGAAGATCGAAATTTCAAACAGAAGTTAAGTCTGATAGCAGATGTCGAGAAACATCATTTCGAGAAAAAATGTCTCTGTGTATGCAAATATGAAACTTCAAATATATTACAAATTTACATCTTCTGAAAAAGCTGCTATGAAGCAGTAAAAATGGTGGAACAGAAACTATTTGAATAAAACTTGTCAGAAACTAAGCCTCTGTAATAGCACTTCACATGATAAAATTCTGTTAACGGTCATTTGCCATACTTGGTGGAAGACGAATTAAAGACGTTATGCAGCGTGTATGTAAAGGATCTAGTGTAACGTAATAAAATGTAATGTCTTTAAAAGTTAGAACTCCTTTACAGACATTTGTAATGTCAAAGTTATTTTTAATTTCATCAAAACTTTACATCTTCCATCTGTTTTCCCTATAGGTTTCTTGCAAACCATCAGTCTGTTGTTGTACCCGATGATACTGGATACTCACGTGGGACACCTCCACTGCGGTCTCCAAGCTCAGGCTTATGGGCCAGACCACTGCCGCATAGGCTGGGCCTATGTGGCATCCACGGCGGGAACGCTTCTCACCTTCTATTGCCCCTTTCTGGCCTACTTCAGCTTCTACAAGGTATACAGCAGGTCTCATGATGGACAAAAGATGTGTCTGGAGAATTCGAAGGCTCATTCGAATCCGAATTTCTTGCTTTGACCAATATGAAGTAGAACAATTTCTTCAAGGGACCAGATGGCGCAGTATTTGTTCGTGTTTGTAATATGAATCCCTTTGACATTTATGTATTTCGTGTATTTAGAATAATTTCTTTTTCTGTGCTTCTCATTGTGCTTCTTTTACACGTGTTTGTATCAGACGTCTTAACAACCGGTATTTAAGATATCTGCCAGAATCAGGTAATATTAACGGCCACCCAAAGGGATGCTGGTTAGTGACTGACTATCGCACCGAAGGGCCCGGGTTGGAATTTAAGAGAAGACAGGAATTTGTAAATGTATAGTGTCTTTGCGGCAAAGGAGCACCCTAAATTACATGGCGAACCGAAAAGCGTCTCGTGCAGTTTCTCTCTAAAAATTAATGTAAAACGGGGCAAAATTGTTCTGTCATCTATATGGTGCCCAAGGATTAACAGACGCAATCTTGTAGTCTTGATGAACAAGCCCACGAGAAAATTCGTGGGCTTGTTCAGATTCAGACAAGTGAGTTTAATCACAACAACACAAAAATAGTAATGTCGACAAAACACATTTAAATTATTCAGCCTGTTAATGATTCTTCAGCTAGTGACAGCGTTCAAAGAATACTATATTTCTTATAAATCGTCATATTTTATAAATAGTTAATATGTAAGATAATTTTTAGAAGACTTTCCAAATCACAAGACATTTCTTTACAATTCCTCTCTTTTCAAAATAAAGTTTGATACTTAATATTCAACGTCTGCATATAGGAAGCGAATTTATAATACATATGTTATCACTACGTCCTTCACGATGCATTTCATTAGGACAATAATTTGAAAAGCAGTTTACTATAATAAGAATGGCTATTTCAAAATATTCAAATTATAAGTGTCAGCAGTTTTGTAGACAAACAGGACTGAAACCCGATGTAAGACGTAGTAAAAGTACTTTAGGATGTCATGAGAAGTAAGGCATTCAGCTGTACGCTGTCAGAAGTCTTTAAACTGTATAGCATTATATGTTGTCAGGAAAAAACGGAAATTTACATGTTCAGAAAAACAAATTCAATATCAATAATAAGTATTTTAAATCTAACAGCAGGTCAAATAAGAAATCTGAAGGGTAACTTCCTGGCCAGGTCACATCTTCAACACTATTTCTTAAGATCGTCTACTGTACCAAATATTAAGAATTTGAATTAAATATCTGATAAAAACTGTCAGACGACGTTAACCGTGAAGTATATTATACTAAAAAATAGACATTAAATATGTGGCTATAGTTAAGAGTCTCAGAAAAGCGACTGGGCAGCTTTTGTTTCCAAAAATAATATCAAAAGCTTTAAACGCAATATATCAGTAAATCGTGTTTTCTTTTTAATTTAACCACCCTTCTTTTACACTACATTATTTTCCAAAAACAAAATATTTGATTCAAAATTGATATTTCGATTTTAAGAGCCGGTAAAACTTGTCTCAAAAAATAAAATAATTACTTTTTACTATTCTATCAAAACTCAAATTTAAAAAAATTTCTAATAGCTAGTTGAGCTAAATCAGCTTTTGAAACATAATTTAATTCTTCAGGCTTTCACTTGTTTCACTCTTTTCAAAATTTCTCTCACGGTATAAAATTCAATTCAGATTAGACCTTAAATCAGCACCTCGTTCAGCTTTTCTCTGATAAAGCTAGGTTCTTTTTTGTGAATGAGGAATTACGAAGCTCATTAAAAGAATGCAAAAAGTTATCAAACAAAACAGGCATTGACTGATCATTGTTCTTTATATAAATTAAAGGACTTGAAGATCATAGAAAAAATGCGTCATGACATTTCAGACAACCTAAGGGTTCAACGTAATAGCCGTGTACACAGCACAAGTAAACAAAATAATTCAAGCCTTTCCTTCATATTTTAAAAATAGAAAACCTATTAAATCCACTTCCCGGATGTCAAAGACAGAAGCATCTCGAAATTTATTTTCCAGGGAATATACTGGGATCCTCTCTAATCTTTTAGATTCATATTTCTAAATTTGATGCATTGAGATATAACTCTTAGAACTGTTTCCTACTTTTAAATATTCAGAATGTATCTCTATCCCAAGAATTTTTACAGCAACTAAAGCTAATCTAGCTCCCATGAAATAGGATAGTAAATCAAGCCTGGGGATTGTGCATTTCCTTCAGCAGAGCTACTTTGGACTTCGCTTGAAGAAGCTGGACTTTTACTTGAAGAAGCTGGACTTTTCTTGAAGAAGCTGGACTTTTATTTGCTTCTCATTTTAGCTTTTCAAATAATCTAGAGCTGCACATGAAATCTTCGAGGTATCGGTGACAATGGACATGTTGTACGACAGAGTATCATCTAATTTTACCTGTCTCATAAAGTTTGTAAACGAACCAAAAGGTCCTTATTAAACTTTACATTCTGGTCTGTCAGCCCATGACAGAGAAGTTTTACATAAAAAGTTTTGCTCAAAACCGTGACCAGCCGGCGCTAGAGGACGATGTTAGCAGGCGTATTTGAGAGCAGAGAGCTGGAATATTTTAAGCGAGGATTTTGCAGGAGAAAGAAGCATCGGCACTGTAACGAGGATTGCGTTACCTTTATGGAGCCGTGGATGGTAGCGGAAGTCGCGAAACTCTCGTACCACCAAGTCGTCTATTGTTTGGACAATCTTCACCACAGTTTAATTTGAGGCTGAAGCTTTCCAAGTAAGCAGCCACAAGATTCGGCAACTTACTACTCTCTCACCTGCCGTAGAAGAAGTTGTGCTACGAGAAAATGAATGACCATCCCGAACTCCTAACCTTACCCCCTCCAGATTTCTCCTTATGAGGATACAGGAAGTTCAATGGTATTCGAGACACCCGTATCATTTATCATCGACCTCATCGCCAGACCGTGAATGCGGCGGCACGTGTTCATGACACACCTGGCTAACTTGAACGAGTTTGTGAATCTGTGCGGACAAAACACGGTGTAAGATTTCCTTTTGTACAATTTTGTTTTTTTTCTTTAAGGTAAATTTGGCATTTTAATTATTAAAACAATACGAAATTTTGTGCACTGGATTTTTACCATTAACGGTTTCACCCGGATTTTCTCGTTCTTTTATGCAGGTCTCTTAACGGTTCGTTACGGATTATTGTTAGTTTAAATGTACCCTCGAAAACGGACAGTCCCGTGTTTTTGTATTATCGAAAAAACACGCCAAAAAGGACTAGCCCGTATTTTTTGTATGTCTTCCAACCCCCAATGCCTAAGGGGACAAGGGTCCATGCAATCCTGACGACAATGGGTAATGGCTGTCATTAGCGTGGGGAGAAATCTTCTTGATGTTTTGGGATAAAGGCCTTACACTGACTCTAAAGAAACAAATTTATTACCAGTTACAAAGTGGATGCATATATAAAGGGATTTAAGAATTTCCGTTTTAGAGCAGTTATTGAATAAAAAATAGAATTTTTTACAAAATGAACGTTTACCTATAAGAGCATTAATGAATTAAAACGAGAAAAATAAAAGTAATAAATGCAAACATAAAAATCTGAAGAATGCAAATCTTTCAGATTTTACATTACGCCCAAAGGGGCGTTTTTTTAACGGTTTGTGGGTTACCTTTATTTTTAAATATCATGTTCTTCGCACTTAAACCATAAAACTTCAGTTAAACAGCAATACCGCAAAATAAATTTTAAATGAGCATATCTTTAGAATTTCCGATACACAGTCTCACCCGTTGAAAATATTTTTTTTTATATTATTATTTTCATACAGTGTTGCTTTTGCTCGCTTTGAAATCGTTGAGTTTCTTAATAAAAAATTCATTGAAGTTTTGCGAAATATGAAACAGATAATAAAACAAATTCCAAATCTCGGCTTCGAGATGCCCATATTCGGGTGGAAATGTACGTTATTCAAAATTGGATGGGTCTAGGTACCGTTGTTTTATCACAATGCGAGAAACATACATATATTTATGCAGATTATTCATTATTTAATTTCAAGGCAGATAGCCCTCGAGTGTTCTGCCGTAATCTAATAAACCAAAACCATTATTTAATTTCTTTAAATATAATACAGGGCTGTAATATGTGGTAGCAACAGTTTGAAAAGTGAACTGACATAGTTTTCAACGGAAAATGAAAAAATGAAGTTAATAGACCTTCTCGGCTAACGCCCTTTGTTTTAAAAATAATGTATCGTGTAATTTAATGGGAATACGAGATTAAATAATTCTCTTTAAAAAATTCTTCTACAAATTTATATCACGAATAATAAAAACGTGAGGCTGTCTTGATAAATTTATAAATATTATACATCTGACAATGCGATTCAATTATTTGATTTCGTAATTTAAGAGCCTATGATTCTTCTTATAAAACTGTACAGGAATTTAGCAAAGAAGCTATTAAGTAATCTCTTATTACCATTAATCTATGCGATAAATTATTATTATTATTATTATTACTTTTGGTTCAGTCTTTTACTTCCAAGTATGCTTTTACCTCAAATAATCGAAAAAATATATAAATTTAAAACAAAATTCGCCCCCAAATCAGAAATTAGGTTACAAATTTCATGCAAATTTTATTTCAAAAGCTATTTTACGCTCTGTAAAATGATGCAAACTTAAAAATTTAAGATTTTTAGTTTATTCTTAAATGGAAATATGCGCAAAAAATTTCTTCGACATTAAATTTTAAAAACTCTAAATCGAATTATTATCATCCGTAAACGGTGTGTGTACAAAATTTGAATTCAATAGCTTATCGATAAGTAGTTCAAAAATCGACGACGAGCTTTTGATTAAACACCGTGAATGAACTGAATACAATTTTTGGAACAGCTCTATTTTTAAGCACTTTGGAAAGATCGGTAAGTTGTTGATATAGCATAACCGTTATTTTTATAACATTCTTGGCATTATGAAACGTGTAAGTGACATTCATAAGCGATTCCCGACAGTTCTGTTCATTTGTCAAAGTGGCTGCTTTTGAAAAATATTGTGAAGCTCACTCGATGTGCTCCACTATCTATGATACTCATTAAAGATATTTAAATATGTTTTATTTCTATACAGAAATACTGGTAAAATTAAGAGGTCAAATATTTAATTATTTGAGTTATATAACTACTTATACTGTCTC